TAGAGAATGTAAGTTTTCTTCCTGAGTTAAATTTCCATGATTCATGCATTATTAAGGAGTGGGGGGGGTAACCATGTTTTTTATTGCTGGTGCATTACGGATGTTCCCCACTCCTCCCCTGCTTTGCTCTCCTCCACCCAGGCGGGTCCCCCTCCTGGCCTTCACCACTGACTAATAGTTCCTACTGAGTACCTAATAGGTGTCAGGTACTGTCCTAGGTGCTGGAGACAGCAGTGAATAAAGAAGTCAGAAATACCTGCTCTCTCATAGCTTGTGTTCTAGTGGTGAAAACAAACAGTAAGCAAAATTAATAGGTAAACAAAAATATGTTCAAATGAAGAAATGGTGAGAGGATGAGAGTGCAAAGATGAGGGAAGGCTATAATTTTATATTATGGTGAGCGGGGATAAAAGTCCTTGAGAAGGTGTGATTTGAGTAAAAATTTGAGGGACTTGAGTGTGTCAGTCACTGGGAAAGGGCTTGCAGATAAGGCAACAGTTCCAGGCAAATGCAAAGGCCCTGAGGTAGGAGTTTTCATGTTTAAAAACAGGATGGCTGAAGGGAGAGAGCAAACGGAGAAAAGTGGGAGATGAAGGCAGAGATGGAATGAGGTACCAGATGATCTAGGGCTGGTACATCATCGCAAGGCCTCTGGTTTTCACTGTGAGGGAAAAGGGAAGCTCAAAGGAAGTTTTCGAGCAGAGTGACATGATCTGACTTCTATTTTAAAGACTGGAACAGCTGTATTGAGAATAGGCCACATAGAAGGCTATTGTAATAGTTCAGAGCACATATTAGTGGCTTGATCCAGTGAGGGTGGCACATGGGTAGAGTTTCACAGCTTTTAATTATTAATCACATTCTTCTTCATCTCGCTGTGGTTCCTTATTTGAATTACTTCTAAGAAAGTATATTTTTCTTTAAAGCCTTCCTTCCATTCCCTCCCTGACAATAATAATGTGTTCCCTCTGGTCAGACCACTTTAGGATCAAAACATGCCACATTTGGAAGTAGTCAAATCAGCAAGTACACTACCGTTAAAAGATAAACTGAGGGCATATTATAAATTTTTATGAGTTTATTTGAGGAAAAATTTATTTGAATCAGACAGCATACAATTAGCAGATAGAAAGGAACTCTGAGGAGCTCTACTAAATGAGAGACGTTCACAGACAGGAGTAGGGACAAGGAAGTTATACAGGTGAAAAAGTAGGTTGGATATTAGAAGGTTGCTTTTCTTTTAAGGGATGGCAAGGGTCTATGAAGTAGATTACCTAACTACTGCTGATCCGGAGACTCCTGTAAGATTCCATTTCTAGGAGAGCTGAAACTATAAGTTAAGTCTCAGTTAGCATAAGTGATTCCATTTGGGGTCTGCAGTCTGATTTCTAACACTGCGCTCCCAAAGCACAAAGGACCTGATAGAGTTCCATCAAAGTCCTCAGTGAAGACACCTGCCACTCTTCAGGCACTGCATTACAGTATATTTGACTGTGGAGCAGGGGTTGGTGAGGAGTGACTGGATTTGGTACAGAAGTCTGGGATGAGGCCAACAGCTTCAATTTTCAGTAAGTTGTACAAAACTGCTTTCATTTTGAGCTAACTAAGTCCCACTTAGAATGCAAAAAACACTTTTTGAAACAAACTATTATCTTGTTTTTCTTTGCTCTTATGTCCATAGAAACCAAAGAAATGCTCACTGACTTCCAACTCCTGTGTGTGTGAAATTTAGTACTTAAGGAAAATTTAGTACTTAGAAAATCTTTAGCCAGGATTATTATAATGACACCATGTGCCAGGCAAACCTAAGCCTTGATTGTGGAGAAACAAGGGCAGATATTCCCTTCGCCACACAGAAAGGAGGTGGCCCACATTTCAGCACAGTTCCATTTATTCTAGGGAGGTAGGAGCAATGGCTACTGCCCAAAGAGAAGATTCCGGAAATGGCCCTTATGTGAAAAGAAGTAAAATACATTAGTCTTTACAGCCAACCTAGAAAAAAAGTTTTTAGCAACTTTAAGACCAATAGTGAAAGAAGAATGCACAACCAGAGCTCTTGGATTACCACGGCATCTTCTTCAGGTAGGCAGGAGTACTCTTACTTTTTATCTGGATCCCCCCATTTTTTCAGAATAAGTAGGAATGAGAATTTCCATTCTATAAATAAAATGACATGACACCTATTAATGGATTATTACTTCAAATAAATTATCTCTCTTCTCTTCATTTTGGCTGACTTACCCAGAAAAGAGACACTTCTTGACATTTAGAAGAAAATGTTTTTTTTCTGAGCTTGGGGTCCATCCTTGGCTCTAGTTCCCCCAAGTGTCTGCATTGCCTGTTCCTGCATCTGCTTCAAGGCCTAATACCACCTGCTTGCCGAGACCTTCCATGGCTGGCCTTGTCCGAAATGGCAACCTACACCCAACTTCCTGTACTCTTTCCCTGCTTTGTTTTTCTCCTTAGCACTAATCACCATCTAACATATTACATATTTTATTGACATATTTTGTTTGTTGTCTTCAAGAGTACAGAGACTTTTACCTGCTTTTGTTTACACTATATTCCCAGTGCCTAGCAGAACAATGTCTAACATAGAGAGAACATCAGTAACTAGCTACTGAATGAATGAATTCCACAGAGTGATCATATAATAATCTTAAGTTGAAATGTCATGTTTAAAAGATCAGTTTTGGCTAGCACATGCATAGTAAGATTTCCAGAAGGATACACAAGAGACCGATAACAGAATTTACCTTCAGGGAAGACTTGAGGGGAAGAAATTTACATATCACTGCACAGTTGAATGTACTATCCTCATGTTTATATCATTAGAATTTTTTTATTATTACCCAGAGATACCTGGATGATATGAATTATGGGCCATTTAAAATTATTTTTAAAACCTGTACTGGTAAAACAACTAAATGTTCATTTAAAATTAGGTAACCACAAAATAAGTGTAAAAATATACACATAAACATACACAAAATGTTTGATGACACATGCAAAGTTAATACAAGAAGATACATCTAACTGGTCTTCTAGTTTTGAATGCTCAAAGAGCTCACACCTAACAGATCTGGTCAGTAGCAAAGACAACTGTAGCTAAAGGACTTCCCAACAATCAGGACGCTGAACACTGAAGAGCTTCACTTATACTAACAATGTGGTGGCAAGTATTTCAGCTGAAGCCAAGGCTTAAAAATCATTTCAGTTTTCATTAGAATTTCAGGGCAAGGCTGTGAGACAATTTAGTATTTGCCATAATGAGATTTCCTGAGAATGAAAGAAGCATGAACACAAGGGTACAGTCAGGAAAGTGGGAGAGAAGTGGGTTGACAAAGTAGTAGAATTCAACCACAAAAGAATAGTTATTTAAAGAAAATTCAGAAGGAAAAGAAGGAAGACATGGCAAGTGAATACAACTTGAAATAAATATTATTCTCAATGTAACTTAGGTAAAGAAGAGATCTAGGCCATATGTTATATAAAGGGAAGATTTATAGAGATGATAGTTTGTTTTCTGGAAATGAAATGTGCATTTAAGTTTGGGAAATGTGCCCTGGAGTCTATTTGTAATTAACAGTGGCCTGTGGTGACAAAGCATGGCAAATTTCCCAAAAGAAATAAGAGACAAGGCAGAGAAGCACTGGAGGGATGGAGACTTGTTTGGATGGAGAGAAAAGAAGGAAACGTGAAACTCAGGAATCGTGTTGCCCTTATCCCGCAGTTCTTTTAACATCACTCAGATGTTTTAGTGTCTTTTTAACCTTTTCTCTCACTCTCTTGATTACTCCACTTTCCAACCAAGGACTTTGATTTTACTTTTAATCCACCTAAGACCAGCTGTTGCCAGAGCTTTCCTATTAAAGGGCTTAGTTCAAATAGTCTGATCTTTAAAGCAAACATCCAGCACAGGCAGCCAACATGGTGTTTTGGAAAGAGCAGTGGCCCAAATGCCGGAGTCAAAATCTAGCTCTGTGCATTCTGTGCCGAATTACTTGGGGTGCAGCACTGAATCTCCCTGAATCTTACTTTTTTCATCCTGAAAATGGGAATACTGAGAACTACCATTTCTGCAGACAATAGTTAAGAGGATCAAACTATACAATGTAAACTGAAAAGCACTATATACAAGCATAATTTAATTTTGTTGTGATTTTAATGCTATTTTACTACTGTCAGTGGAAAATATAAATATAAAGCGAAAACTGCCACAAGAAAAAGGCAGAATGTCTTTCAATACACTTGCTCTATGTCTAGCTATAAAAAGTCAGATAATGGATGTTTTTAGCGGTATTTTCTAGGCTGCAAAACTTTGTTGCATTAGTATCATCATACCATTTTTCATTTCAAGAGATTAAAAAATGAGACATTAAATATAATTGTACAGCTGATCTTTGAACATATTTCATGAGCTAAAGCTAACGAATCCAATTATGGCATTAAAAATATGCCTCTAATCTTTTTTTCATCCTCTCGACCACTGAGTTCTCTGGAATACAGGAGAATTAATACAGAAAACTTGGAGAAACTCTCAAGCTGGTGCAGAAAGAATTACAATTGAATCCTCCTTTTAATTAAAAACACAAATGGGTAAAGCTTATACCACACCTTATGCACAAAAATACTATATTACCATAATTTAAAAAAACAGGAATGTAGCAGAAAAGGGAGAATAAGTTCTGGCTGGAAAACTGTTTTCCGGCAATATAAAAAAATAGTCCATGAGATCACTGAAAACAAACATCTATATACAGAGTGACAAAATACATTGAAATTACATTAACCAGATCAACACACTAAATAAAACCAAATCAATGAACAGAGAACATCTGCTCCAGACAAGCCTTTACAGTTGGAATACACCTCTAATTTTGGCTTCAGTTTTAAACAAATCATTAAAATGATACCTGAGAGTGGGAACAAAAATCAATCAGTCCCAGTAAGTAGCCAAACATCAATTCCCTCTGCACAGAAACAAGCACAGTTATTACCTGCCAAATGAAACTATCTTACCGCTTCCCGTTTCCTTTCAGTAGCAAAAGAAAAATCTTAAACAAAGTGTCCATCCCAGCACATTTGTGCAGATGAAACATTTGCGACCGAACCCTGCTGTGGCCGGACCACGTGCAGTAAAATGTTAAAAGTCCTCTGACAGCCAATCCAAAGCTGCTCAGACCTCTGGGGCCTCCCAGGGCGATCTGCCTGGCTTTGTTGCAATACAATGGGGGTTAAACATTTCCTTCTATCCATTTAGAAGCAAGAAAAATCTGTTTAGTCGCTCAAAATTATTTAGCGAAACACACATAGGTTCTGGTTTGGTAATATGGTTGTTTGAAGAGAGTAACTGCCTTATTTTCTTCTATGCCAGGGATGTTATATAATTTCTTCTTCTTTTTTTAACTCAAGGTGGCACTTTAGAATTCCTATCTGGTCTTTGTTTAAATATTCTTTCTTTACAGGACCCAGTAACTCCTTCAGACTAGCTTGTTTATTTCAGCCTCAAAATATACTTCACATACATGTCTACCTGCCATCCATTTAACTCACAACAAAAATTTCTACCTTTTTCCTTTCACGGAAGCCTAGAAACTCTATTTGCTTCAATTAATTTTATATGAGATCTCAGTAAAAATAAATATTGTAACTGTTTTTCTTTGCCTCTTTCTCCTATTTCTCAATTTCATTCCTGTTTTAAGCTTCTCTGGTCTATTGTCACTACTATTTACCTTTTCAAGCTGTAAAAACATCTAAATGTTGATTATTACTATTATTGTAAGTCAGATATTACTGATACATAAGTACACAAATAAAAAAATAAATCATGGACAAGTATTTTCATTAGAGTGCTAAATACATCTGAGTAGTATTTCATGCTAAGAAGACCTAAGGGATGGAAGGTGTTCTAAAATGTATGTATAGGGCGACCTCATGGCAGACACTGCCAGGAAGCTTTAAGCCGCTTGTTTTTCCTTGAGTTCCCAATGATTATTTTGCAAGCTTTAAGGTTCTCCGGAAAAACTTCAAGAAAAGCAGGTTTACCAGTCATTCATGGGCTATGATTCAGGTTTACATGGTGTCCATTCACTGTATTTTCAATTACAGATATTCGCTTCCTAAGAACAAACCTAAAAATCTGTCCCCCATTTATTACAGTGACAGTCACGAACAATGGGTGGATATATTTCTTTGAAGCACTTTTCAGGACTTCTTAAGATCTCTTAGAATAATGCTTTTCTTCACAAAAGCACAACCAAAATGTAACACAATCTCCTTCAAAGCGTGTTGTCAGGAAGATCAACAATAACCACAGCCACATGACCTCTCAAACCCAACCAAGTAGAGACATCAGAGAATCCTGAGTGGGTCCCACCTCCACTCAGCTGTGTCTCTGCTTTACTGTACCCTAATTAGCTTTAAATTCACTCACAAAAACTTGAAAATGTAAAATAATTTCTGACTTAGATTTTACTCTTTTAAAAGATAAAACAAGTAGGAGGGAAAGCCTATAAAGGTATTTCCTCCTGACTACATATCTGCTGCTCTATGTATTATTAGTGGCACCATCTGATAGGAGACAAATGATCAGCTGCCCAGGTCACCAGTATGTCCCACACGGCTGGTAGCAGAAGCCTGGCTAGACAGTGTGATTCACACCTGGTACCCCTTTTGGTATTTCCCAATAATTTCTTTGGAGTGAATTTTATAAATTTAAACACTCCGATTGGAAAGTAGAATGTGCCTATGCTTTTCTATTAACATGTTAACAAAACTTGATCTTTTCCTAGTTAGCTATTCCCACAGGTATAAAAAGGTTCATGAAGGAATGTGAATGAAGGCTGTATTTCAAAGAACAGTGTAAGGGCTACTTAAAATGGTGCTTTAAACTGTGACTGTGCTCTGAACAGCAAGGGCTGAATGGAGGAGAGCCCAGGCGGATTATGCAGGCTGACTGACCGAGCCTAATCAGAATTATTTCAGCACACTGCTTCCCTACAGCCACGGACCCATTAGACGCTGAACGCTTCTGCAGGCCCGCCTCTCGCTCTGTCTCCCACTGTGACCTGTTACTTCTCAACAGTGGTTACTCAGTGGGCTACTCAAAACAGTTCTTGGTAAACAGAGGTACTGGGCTTCACAGGCTTCTTAAAATCCATAATCAAATCTGTCATTTTATGACAAGAATGGGTATTGTCCCACTTTAAAACAATGCCATTGGGACTGCTGCACAGGGAGGGCCCTTTGAAGTAACTCTTTCACTTTGCAGTATATTTTTGTTAAGAAAAGTTGAAGTTGACAGTTATTACTTCTTTCACAGAAGCAGCTCTGTTTTGAAAATGCAATTTTGAATATTTCATTTACAATTCATTGGCTACTAACTCACCATCCTGCTTAGCACTCCACTCTCACACAGCCCCGTTTTGGAGACCAGGTGAGGCATCGTATGGCACCGAATGTGCTTTCTTTCCGTTTCCCACACAGTCACTCACATCACACGGACTTGTCCATTTCTGGCATGCAACTGATTTTCTACATGCTATGACCTGGTACCCATTCTTAAAAGTACATAAGAATATTAGATGTGCTTTTTTTTAAACTTTATTTATTTATCTTTAGAGGGGAAGGGAAAGAGAGAGAGAGACATATATCAATGTATGGTTGCCTCTCCTGTGTCCCCCACTGGGAACTGGCCTGCAACCCAGGCATGTGCCCTGACTGGGAATTGAACTGCAATCCTCTGGTTCGCAGGCCCATGCTCAATCCACTGAGCTACACCAGCCAGGGCCAGATGTGCTTTTTAAACAGATACAGCTCTTCATTTAAATCTAAAATTATGTTTCTAGATTTTTGTTCAAATAAACAATCAGAATTTTCCAGTTTTTAAAAAATTACATTTTATCCAAATTTTACAGTTCTAAATGTCATAATCCATGTGCAGAACACCCAACCTCTGTGCCTCAGTTTCCTTATCTGTATAATGAGGACAATACAGTACCATCGTCCTAAAGTTGCTGGGGGATTAAATTAGTTAATATTTTAAGACACTTAGAACAATGCCTGGCACATAGTAGATGCTATATGTTTGTATTAAATAAATAAAAATAAATCAAATACTACCTATGAATTAGAAAATGAGCAATGATTCTTTCAGGCACTCTTCCAGAATGGAAGAGTTCTACCCTGAACTATCAGTTTACCTTCACGACCTTAATTTTTATCATTATTTAACAGGCCTTTGTATTTGCCTGAGTACACATTCACTGTCAGTTTTCTGCAACAGCCTCTAAGTTCTCCAGTACAGAAATAATTAATTTTCTTCTGAATTCCCTTGCAGAAAGAAAAAAGAATGCCAATTAGATGGTGAAATGCGAGATACAATAGTTTTTTTTTGCTAAAGTAGCATATAAAATAAATTGAGTGGGGAAAATGAATTAATTAGTGTTTCTTTCCCCCATCCTGAAATGCTGTGCTATACTCACAAGCTCACAGGTATCAACAGGCATATTTCTCAAAGATGCAGCTCCATGTGATAGGGACACATTAAGTGTCATGTCATTTGGTCAAAGTGTCACACAAGCCATCTGTTTCTGTAAACATGGTACAGAGACCCAGGAACCCCACAGATAATATGATGGCACAGAACACTGTCATCCTATTGCTTTTTTATAATTTACCGCTCAGCGAAATGCCAAGATTCCAGAAAGGCACTGTGATGCTGAGTTAAGAAGGGAGGCTGAGAGAAACTGTTCTGGAAGAGAATTGGTGCAAATGTTTCAAGAGAACAGCAGAGCCATGTTTTCCTTCTGAATCTATGTACCATCAAAACAATAAAACATTTATTAATTCTCAGCCCCATCTCTTTTTTCTTTTAAAATTTTAAAATATTTTACCTTCTTATTAAATTTACTGTGGTGACACTGGCTAACAAAATTATACAGATTTCAGGTGCTTAATTCTACAACATATCACCTGTACACACTGTGTTGTGTGATCACCACCCCAAGTCAAGGAAGTCTTCATCCTTCTTTTCCCAATCTCCATTTCTCTCCCATTCCTCCTGCTCTAACCAGGGACAGAACCACAACCTAGGAACATGCCCTGACTGGGGATTGAACCTGCAACCTTTTGGTGTATGGGATGACACTCCAACCAACGGAGAGACCCAGCCAGGGCTATATATTTCTAATTGTAACAATACCAGAGATCTTTAAAAAAACAGTGGTGTGGAAAATATCATTTTACTTTTAACATATAATAAATATATATTTATTTTTTAAAGAACTCTGGTATTATTACAATACCAGAGTATTATATAGTCATTAAGAATGATTCTATAAGAAGAGTTTTTCAAATGAAAGTGATGAAAACACTAGACACCTTTAACAAAAGTAACAAGAACCAGAATTTTTTGAACACTATATCCTTGCAACATTTTATATAGAGTTCATTTATGGCAATTCATATGTGTATCAATATATTACGCTTGATTTTAGCCAAAAGGCTGAGAAGCAATGTATCAATATATTACATAAGGTGCATTTTACTTAAAACATATCTTTAAGTGCATTGCATTTAAAGTCTTCTTAGAATTATCTTTATATACATCAAAATTTATCAGACAATGTAAAGAATAGAATAGCAACAATGCAATCATAACTGAAATTTGAAAAGATATAACAACAAAGAATAGAAATGACAAGGGTAAAAAAGTAGGTTGTAAGGAACAGGAAACACATTAGGGGTAAAACCACATTAAGTGGCCATTTTCTAGGTCAAAAAAGGCCAAATACCAGTAATTTCATGTCATTAAAACTAATTTCTTGCCTGGGACTTCCAGACTCCAGTAATATCCAAATTGTGTAACTAAAATACAGGCCAGGTTCCCAGAGCAAGTAATTCTCATTTCTGTCGCTGGTATAAAACAAGATTCATAGCCATTTTGTAGAAGTTTCAGTTGTTATAATCAATGACCTTGAATAGCCACATATTGCCGAAGTGTGTGTGAGTGACAAAGTAATTTCTCCTACCTCTTA